GTTTTGCCACCCACACTGGAAACCTGGAGTGAGTCTTCAGTTCCTGGCTTCAGCATTAGCCCTAGCCAGGGGCTGTTGTGGGTATTTGGGGAGTGAACCAATGATGGGAGTTCTCAGTTCTTTGGCTCTCAAATAAATAAACAAAAATTATTTTTAAATATGTTTTAATTAAGAGAAAAAAGAAAGAACCAGGCACTCACTAAACAATTCCTTACTGTTTGGCTACACAGAATGCCCCTGTGTTTACAGTCTACTAGTAAATTGCCAAGACAGAGGAATGAAATAATCCACCTGTTAGCAACAGAGAATGGGGAAGCAGCCATATTTGCCCTTTGCTTTAAAGTTCAGAACAGTAGGGCTGGCGCCATGGCTCACTTGGTTAATCCTCTGCCTGCGGGGCTGGCATCTCATGGGCACCGGGTACTGGTCCCGGTTGCTCCTCTTCCAGTCCAACTCTCTGCTGTGGCCCAAGTGTTTGGGCACCTGCACTTGCATGGGAGACCAGGAAGAAGCACCTGGCTCCTTCCTGACTTCGGATCGGCACAGCGCCGGCCGTAGCAGCCATTTGGGGGGTGAACCAACGGAAGGAAGACCTTTCTCTCTGTCTCTCTCCCTCACTGTCTAACTATCTGTCAAATAAATAAATTTAAATATAAATAAATAAATAAAAATAAATAAAGTTCAGAACAGTAAAACTACCAAAGATAAATTGCTGCTTTCAGCAAGGACCTAATCTGCAATTTGTGTTCATTTCTTTGCTTCTGTTGCAACTTTACTACAATAATTTTTCAGGTGAGAGTGATCATAATGTGTTATTTTTGTAATAAAAGTTCACTGATTACTAAAATGCGTTACCTTGTGCATGTGGCTCATACTAGCATGACACTCCTTTCTCTTAAGATTTATTTGGAAGGCGGAGTTACAGTGAAAGAGGAGGAGTGACAGAGATTATCTTCTGTCCACTGATTTTTTCCTTAAGTGGCCAGTGCTTCGATGGGATTCCAGTGTTACAAGTGGCTACTCGCTGTGGCACACCAGCCTGATATAACAGTTTTTAATTTGGGCAGGTTTTTTAGGGAGTTGTTAGCTCAAGATTATAAATAATATGAGTTTGTAATACTTAATAATAGGTAACATTGAGTATATTAAACACTTTCAGGGTTGGTTGGTTTGTTTTTAAATTAATTTAGTTATTTGAAAAGCAGAGTGACAGAGAGCAAAATCTTCCCTCCACCATTTCACTTCCCAAATGACTGCAACAGCCAGGTCTGGGCCAGGCTGAAGCAACAAGCCAGGAATTCCATCCAGGTCTCCCATGTGAATGGCAGAAACTCAGGTGGCGCAGTAGGCTAATCCTCTGCCTTTACCACTGGCAGTGGGCATTGGTTTGAGTCCTAGCCATTCTTCTTCCGATCCAGCTCTCTGCTATGGCCTGGGAAAGCAGTAGAAGATGGCCCAAGTGCTTGGACCATCACCCGCTGCTTCCCGGCTCATTAGCAGGGAGCTGGATTAGAAGCCAAGAATCTGATATGGGATGTGGACATCCTGAATGATGATTTAACCTGCTGTGCCACGACACCTGCCCCCATTAAGCACTCCAGTATAGTAACTCATTCAGTGTTCAAAACAATTTGTAAGGGAGATGTTGCTATTATATTATATTCATTTTACAGATTATGAACTGAGGAATAGAATGGTTAAGTAACTTGATCAAGGTCACACAATAAATCAGAAATAATCTGAGACATCCATCTTGCAATGCAGTCCTTGACTTCACACACTGTTTCCCACAACTGTTAAGAATTGCCTCTGCTGGTAATGCTAAGTTGCATATGGGAAAGGGGACAAAACACATTGGAAATTTGAATGGTGCAAGATTAATTGCTGATTTATTTTTTTTAAATGAGAGCTAATGACTTTATTTTTAAAGTTTTATTTTATTTATTTGAAGGGCAGAGTAACAGAGATCATCCATTTACTGATTCACTCCCCAAATGGCTACAACCGCCAGGGCTGGGCTAGACAGAAGTCAGGAGCCTGAAACACTCTGCAGGTCTCCCACATGAGTGTCGGACCCACGGGCTAGGACCATCTTAGACGGATCTCCCAGGCACACGAACAGGAAGTTGGATTGGTGGAGTAACCACTCCTGTATGGGATGCCAGCATTGCATGGGGCAACTTAACCTGTACTGTAATGCCTGCCCCTAATTGCTAATTTAGATGACTCTTGTTAATCCAAACTCAGCTTTGACATTTTTTGCGTTGTACTTTAGATTCTGCTAAACATATTCCTTCCTATATAATTTCTTAGTAAATTTTTATTATTTTCATTTGAAAGAAAAAAACAAGGATCTCCTATCTGCTGGTTCATTTCCCAAATGCCTGCAACAGCTGGGCTGGAAACCAGAATCCCAGAACTCAATTTAAGTCTCCCATGTGGGTGATGAAGGACCCCAAGTAGCTGAGCCATCATCCCCTGACCTCCTGTGGTACACATTATTAAGTCTCCCATGTGGGTGATCAAGGACCCCAGTAGCTGAGCCGTCATCCCCTGACCTCCTATGGTACACATTATTAAGTCTCCCATGTGGGTGATGAAGGATCCCAAGTAGCTGAGCCATCATCCCCTGACCTCCTGTGGTATGCATTATTAAGTCTCCCATGTGGGTGATGAAGGACCCCCAGTAGCTGAGCCATCATCCCCTGACCTCCTGTGGTACACATTATTAAGTCTCCCATGTGGGTGATGAAGGACCCCCAGTAGCTGAGCCGTCATCCCCTGACCTCCTATGGTACACATTATTAAGTCTCCCATGTGGGTGATGAAGGACCCCCAGTAGCTGAGCCGTCATCCCCTGACCTCCTGTGGTATACATTAGTAGGAAGCCAGAATTGGAAACAGAGCTGGGACTCCAACCAGGCACTGCAGCCTGGGATGTGAGTGTCCCAAGCAGTGTCTTAGTAGACACCTAAACTGCTACACCAACTACCCAGCCCTATTCCTACAGATTTAAAGAGCTTTATAAAAGTATAGTGGCACAGGGTTAAGCTGCTGTCTGCATCCCCTGTGAGCACTGATTGGAGTCTCAGCTGCTCCACTTCCGTCCAACTTCTTGCTAGTGTGCTTGGGAAAGCAGCAGCAGATGTCCCAAGTTCATGGGCCCCCATCACCCACATGGGAGTCTCAGATGAAGCTCTTGGCTTTGGTCTGGTCCAGCTCTGTCCATTGCAGCATATCTCTCTCCCTTTCTGTAGCTCTGCCTTTCAAATAAATTAATAAATCCATATATATTTACACACACACATATATATACATACAAAATATATATATACAATATATATATATATATATATATAGGTAAAATGGTTTTAGAATTATGCAGAATAGGACCAGCATTGTGGCCTAGCAGGTGATGCCTCCTATAATGCCAACATCCCATATGGGTTCCGGTTACTGTTCTGGTTGCTCCTGTATTTTGTTTTTTAAGATTTATTTATCTGAGAGGCCGGCGTTCTAGTCCCGGCTGCCCCTCTTCCAGGCCAGCTCTCTGTTGCGGCCCAGGAGGGCAGTGGAGGATGGCCCAAGTGCTTGGGCCCTGCACCCGCATGGGAGACCAGGAGGAAGCACCTGGCTCCTGGCTTTGGGCCGGTGCAGCACCAGATGTAGCGGCCATTAGGGGAGTGAACCAACAAAAGGAAGACCTTTCTCTCTGTTTCTCTCTCTCTCTGTCTATAACTCTACCTGTCAAATAAATAAATATTTTTAAAAAGATTTAATTTATTTGAAAGGCATAGTTACAGAGAGGGGAAGAGAGAGAGAGATATCTTCTATCCATCCATCCACTGGTTCACTCCCCAGATGGACACAAAGGCTGGGGCTGGGCCAGGTCGAAACCAGGAGTCAGAAGCTTCTTTCAGGTCTACCATGTGGATGCAAGGCCCAAGTACTTGGGCCACCCTCTGCTGCTTTCCCAGGCATGTTAGCAGGGAGCAGTGTTGGAAATGGAGAGCCCATATTGGATGCCGGCATTACAGATGGCAGCATTACCCACTATGCCATAATGCCTTACTGCCCTCAGATTTTTTTAAAAGTTATGTTGGGCCGGTGCCGCGGCTCACTAGGCTAATCCTCCGCCTTGCGGCGCCGGCACCCTGGGTTCTAGTCCTGATCAGGGCACCGGATTCTGTCCTGGTTGTCCCTCTTCCAGGCCAGCTCTCTGCTGTGGCCAGGGAGTGCAGTGGAGGATGGCCCAAGTGCTTGGGCCCTGCACCCCATGGGAGACCAGGAGAAGCACCTGGCTCCTGCCATCGGATCAGCGCGGTGCACCGACTGCAGTGCACTGGCCGCGGTGGCCATTGGAGGGTGAACCAACGGCAAAGGAAGACCTTTCTCTCTGTCTCTCTCTCTCACTGTCCACTCTGCCTGTCAAAAAAAAATTGAAAAAAAAAAAAGAAAAAAAAAGTTATGTTAATATCTCTTCTTTTTGGAGGTAATTAATTTCCTGTTTGGTTCCTGATTAAAAACAAGCAGGGGTGGGGGCCGGCACTGTAGTGTAGCAGGTAAGGCCACTGCCTGCAGTGCTGGCATCCCATGTGGGTGCTGGTTCAAGTCCTGGTGCTCCACTTCTGATCCAGCTCTCTGCTGTGGCCTGGGAAAGCAGTAGAAAATGGCCCAAGTCCTTGGGCCCCTACACCTGCATGGAAGACCTGGAAGAAACTCCTGCTCATGGCTTCAGATTGGCACAACTCCGGCCGTTGCAGCCAATTGGGGAGTGAACCAGCAGATGGAAGACTTCTCTCTCTCTTTGCCTCTTCTTCTTTCTCTGTAACTCTGACTTTCAAATAAATAAATAAATCTTTAAAAAAAAAAAAAAGAATGTACTTAAAAAACCAAGCATATATCTTTGTAACAGGTAAAAATAAATTTCATTGCCTTTAATACATATGTGTGCTTAATGATATGTATTCTTTGTTGCTTATTTTGCTCACCTGGTACAGGTAGAAGAGTCAGCAATGATGGGGGTAAGTGGCTATGTGGAGTATCTCCGAGAACAGGAAGTATCCGAGCGGTGGTTCCGGTATAACCCCCGTCTCACTTGCATCTACTGCGCCAAATCTTTCAATCAGAAGGGGAGCCTAGACCGCCACATGCGCCTGCACATGGGGATTACGCCATTTGTCTGCCGCATGTGCGGCAAGAAGTACACCCGGAAAGATCAGCTGGAGTATCATATCCGCAAGCACACAGGCAACAAGCCCTTTCACTGTCATGTTTGTGGCAAAAGTTTTCCCTTCCAGGCTATCTTAAATCAGCACTTTCGCAAAAACCACCCTGGCTGTATACCCTTGGAGGGGCCTCACAGCATCTCTCCTGAAACGACTGTCACGTCCCGGGGGCAAGCTGAGGAAGAGTCGCCTTCACAGGAAGAGCCAGTTGCCTCTGGGGAAACCGCGCAGGGCTCTGTGTCCACCACGGGGCCTGACTGAAATAGCGAGGGGAAGGGGGCAGATCCTCTTCCCCTTTGGGCCGTGAGCAGCCCGCATCGGGGCTGTGGGCTGGTACTTAGATTCACAAAATGCCACGTCACTAGACCAGAAGATGCTCCCAAGATGTTGCCAAACTAGACGATCAGCAACATCCATAGAAGCACTAAAGGCTCTTCCCCTCCTCTTTCCACCTCACATTTTGGAAAGTAATCAAGCAAATCAAACTTTTAATTCAGGGATCAACAGCCTTGGTTTGTTAACTTTGTAAGAAAAATTTTTTAATGAAACAGTGATAAGTGGTCATGCATCCGCCAGTCACGTTGAACACTGTACTTTGGTCCATATCATCTTGGTGGCTGTAACTGCCAGATCTAAAAAATGCAGCAGGAGCCTTGGCCGTCGGGAGAGCCAACACCAGAGAGAATGAGGTAGTCACGATGGTGTGAGGAGGAGTTGGTCTTCTTCCTTCCCTGCCTGAACATGCATTTTCACATCTCAAGAAAAACCAATGAATGCCGATGGTTCTGTTGTTTTCAGAGGTTTGACTTTATCTTTGCCCTGACTAGGCATGTTGTACTGGTCTGAGTGTTGCATGAGATCAGCCCTCTTGGAGCAGTATTCTAGTGGGCAGCAACACCTGAAGCACTTTAGGCGATTGGAAGTGAAGTGAGCCACAGAGCGTTTGCAGTAGGTACTGTTACATTTGGAGGCTTATATGTTGGGTTCAGGAAAAGAGGAGCAGGGAAGAAAGTGTTTGTGTTTGGCAAAGGTCAGACAGCACAGAGCCATATTGAAGCTTCCTGATTCATATTTGTAAACCATAATGTTCCATTCTCAGGTGTTGGGACATGGCTCTGGTTCAAATTAATTAACGTGTTAAGCTGACTACCAAAGTTCCATCTAGTCTCCTTGGCTCCTGCTATCATATAACAGCAATATTGTACTTCAAAAAATGTCATTTTCCAGTGAAATGAGCCTGGATTGTATTTTTAAATCCACAGGTCTCCATATTTGATAACTTTTATATGAAGTTTTAAACACATTTTCTTGCAATATTGTGGTTGAAGAAATTCAACATTATGGTTCTTCTTGCAACCACAATTACATTTCCTTCTACATATATAAGACTTTATATTTTCAGTCCAATAGAAGAACCTCACTTAAATCTATGTCTCGGGTCTGCAAACCTGGAAATTCGTAAACCAACCATCAGCAACTTGCTGGTGACTCCAAGAGCTTTGATTTGTAATAATACACTACAGGGCACTTAACAGAAAACATCATGCACACTCATGTTGCAATAAATGATCAAGGGATCAGTTTTGATCAGGTTTGGTTACTTAAATCATTCCTAAGATTTTTTAAAACTTCAAGGGACCTTTTTAGTATTTCTGGATATTTCTGAGATTCTTAAGTTAGCACAAAGAAAGAACTTAGCATGGAGCTTTAGTTGCCCTGTCTTGCATACAGAGCGAGGAGGAGGAATGGTAAAGGATGCAGGCAAGTAGATGCTTGTAACTTACAGTGCAAATAGAAGAGAGAAAATCTCTAGCTTCTCGTGATTGATCTTAAGTATTTATGTAATGGTTTAAGAAGTTGTTTTAATGCAAAGGCATAGATGATTGTAAAAGAGATTTGGGAGAAAGGCTGGTCATTACCACCAGCAGTGGTGAGCCATTTCTGAGAAGGTTAATTATGTGGTCCTTTTCTGAGAATGCTTTATGGTATGTGGAAAGATGGGTAGAAAAGAATGGCATTTCTTTGATGATAGAAAACTAGAATGCGAAAGGTAGCTCTTAAGCAGTCTGAGAATTGTACATGTACATTCACCTGCATCCCATATTTAGAGAAAGATTATTTTCTCTTCTGGAAAAGCATAGAAATGAATCTTTTATAGGAATATGAAGATACTATCATTTGATAAGAGCTTACCCTTAAAAGCTTCATTGAAGCTGCTTTTGTCTTTAGGAGGCATAAACTGGGGCATCCTTCTCTTTAGTTTGGCAACAGCATGATAGGGTAAAACCTGTCTCCAAGATCCATCTTAGGGACTGGCTCTGCCCTGTGGCATGGAAAAGGTAGAGTTAAAATTAGATTGAAATCCTTTGGGGTTCAGCTGGAAATCAAGGATTTCAATAAACAGATTTTTGCCACTAATAACTAGAAGAGGTCTCATGAGAAGTGCAGAATATGCTGCTTCTAGCCTACCAAAAAAATTTCAAGTCCATCTTATTTTTGTTAAGTAGTATGCTAGCAAGTTCTTTATTGCATTGCTTTTTTCATTTCTTAGATTATATGTGAGAAAATAGAGCTTTGTAAACTATTACCAAATTGTAATGGTGAAGTGCAGTAATATCTGTAAACAGGAGCTTTGCATTATGCATCAATACTCCCTCCAGGATTAACAACAAACATTTTAAATGAAGTAGAGACTATCTTAATTTATGTAGAACTAGTACAATGTTCTTCCCTTTTCATTCACTTCTAACAGGTCTTCACTGTACTGATACTGTGAATAGAGTGCTTCTGGTAGCTTCAGACCACATCAGCACAATCATATTTGATTGTTCTCTTCTCTTGGCCTAACCAGAACCAAGAAATTGAAGAAACTTCAGGACAGGTTAGCTTTTAAACAGATTAAAGCATTGAAAGCAATCCCCCATTTTAGTTAGTAGAGATACTATTATTCTAAATATCTGTCCAGGATTCTTATCCAGGCACACTGTGACATTGTCCTCATTCTTAGCTAACATCTCTGTAGAATTAGTAATGTTCTATTTACACTAATGAATACTTGTTTCAGGGTGTGCATAGAGGATATACTAAATGGACTGTGGGTGATGCAAAAAACTCATTACCAAATCTTAACTTGCACATGTCACCTTATTAAGGGAACTGCATTAGCAATGAGAGCTAAAATCATCAAGTACTTTAATGCCATGAAATTGCAAACATTGGAACCATAATTTTAATTTTACTAAATGTCATTTAGTAGCAAAGGAGCTATTCAGTATTCTCAGCAAAAGATGAGAGATGGCAATATATTAATCTACTTTCATTCTAAGATGTACATGTATTCTCTCTGAAGTCTGATCCAAGTATAAAGTATAGATTGGCATAAACAGTAACACTGTTCTTAGGCAGGAAGGCTCTTTCTAATGACTTGTTCTCTTTTTACTCAGAACCACATTTACCTCTGAACTAGGTTGAACCTTATTTTATGTAAGTTACGAACTACCCCCCCCCACAACTTTGTTATAATAGAGGGTTAAATCTAATCTTTAGTATGTAAAGTGAATTAGATTGTAAAGGCTCAAGATTGGAAAAGTAGAGTAGTTAAGGAACATTTTCCTGAGGTTTTTTTTTTTCTTTTTCTTTCTTTCTTTTGGCATTTTTTAAGTTTTTCCAACTTCCTCTACATAAGTGAAATATTCTTCCAAAGATAGTGTGATGATAGTAGTCTGTTTTCACTCAACCTCATTGTTGACTTTCTGGCTTTGGATGGAAATGGGCTGGTAGAAGAATAAAATAGGGACCTTCACTCTTACAGCTGAAGAATCTGTGGCCAAGAAACAATTTTTACAAAGTTTTAGCTGTTATTTGACACTGTTTCTTTTTACTGGCAGAAGCTGTATTTTGTTTTACTAGAAAATCTAATTTAAAGAAATTAAACCCGTAAATAATGGAAGGGAAGTTGAACAAAGGCAAAGCACTTCTGAGTAATAATGGGAAGGTATTGAATTAGAAAGGATTGGAATTCTGGAAGTTTTTCCATTTCTTTCAGATTCAGCAAGACAAAATTTCTTTTTCTCAAATGCCCTTCCCCTAGTCTGTGTACTTATTTGTTCAAGGAATAAAGATGAGTCTTTATTGAAACTCTTTACTTAGGCCTTATGGGAAAGAGTTTAAAATATTAAACTATTTTTTCCAAAGATTTTTTATTTTACTTGAAAGTAAGAGTTACACAGAGAGAGGAGAGGCAGAGAGAGAGAGAGAGAGAGAAAAAGAGAGGTGTCTTCCCATCCAATGGTTCACTCCCCAATTGGCTGCAACAGCCGAAGCTGCGCCGTTCCGGAGCCAGGAGCTTCCTCTGGGTACCCGACATGGGTGTGCAGGGGCCCAAGGACTTGGGCCATCTTCTGCTGCTTTCCCAGGCTATAACAGAGAGCTGGATAGGAAGTGGAGTCTTGAACTGGCGCCCATATGGGATGCCGGTGCTTCAGGCCAGGGGGTTAACCCCCTGTGTCACAGCACCGGCCCCTGAACTATTTTTGTCCTTCAGATTTAGAAGCAATAAGCAGTTGTCAGTTAAATCCTAAGTATGAGAATATGTCCCTTAGCAAAGTATATCCTTAGAACCATTAGATCAGTGTATAGCAACCTAAACCAAATCCTGAGACTACCTGCTTGTGTTTAAAAAAAAAAAAAAAAAAAGGTATTGTAACAGGGCCATACCAATTCATTGTGTATTCTACACTGGCAAAGCTGAATACACAGCCTACAGAGTTTGGAAATCTTTCCTGTCTGGAATTTGACAGAAATTCTTCTGTTAGATTTGGAAGTACTACCCCCACAATTTTGTCATTCCTACTATTTTGCCTTTACAATAGTTTTGTTGAGGTTTAAATTCATACTGTCACATATACATCCATCTCTTTAAAAGAGGTTGCCACCTTTTTTAAGTCTCTTCTCATAATCTTCTTTGTGCTTCTTCCTAATTCTCATTGCCTTAAGGGCATTTAGAAAGGGCCTATCATTGGCCTTCCCATGAAGGTACAGGTAAATCAAAGTTTAAGATAGTAGTTATAACATGATAATCTGAAAAATAATTTATGCATCATAATATCGGACTAAATGAGTACCATGTCTACAAAAAATACTGTTAAAAATTAATTTTTAAGTAAGCTTTGCCATTCCTTGAGTTAACCTGAACTGATTTGCATAAGGTGGCAAAAATGAATTTATTCCCACTAAGATAAAAAATAATTTGTTATGAGGGTTTTGATTCATATCCAAAGTACTGTTTTTCTAGATTACAGGCCTCTACCCCTTCCCTGTACTATAAATCTTCGTTTTAATATCTTCAAGTAAATTCACTCTGTTACCATGTAGAACAGTAAAAAGTGATATCTTCCTCCTCTTATCTCTGGATGAAACGTCTGAGGATGTCAAATTCTTCTTAGATCTATCTTTGTATCTTTGTTACTGTCTTAAATTTCTCTAAATATATATTGGAGCATTATGTATTTGTGAAAGTGTTCATTCTTCTTACTTCTACCAGATATGGAAAAAAATGGGAAATGTTAGGGTGTTAAAATAGAAATCCTTGCAAGAGAAAAAATATAACTGTTCTCTACTTGGGAAGAGTAAATAGACTTCTGAGTTAAATGTATTTACCTCAACAAAGTTTTCTAAGCTGTACTGATAGGGTACAGTGAGTTTGATTCTTTGTTGTGAGCTCTGCCAACATTGACAAACATTCAGGTGAATAGTAGCCTCCTGTAGGGCACCTCTTCGTCCTTAAAGTTGCCTTCTTCTGATTGGATGTTAGTATATTTTTTGATATACTCTCTAGGTAATAGATAATCTTCCCCTATGAGTGTTTGCCCTAGATGAGATCCACCTTGTCTTGGAGCACTTAGACCCACAGTAACAGTAAGTTCTTGAGATTTTGGAGTATTTTCTGATTAACCTGGGGTTCTAATTAATCTGGGATATGGGACTTACAAGAAATTGGATTTGGATAGCCCCGTGAGTCATTTTGTTCCACTCTCTTTGAAGTCCTGGGAATAGATACCATGTCAGTATGAATCCCTTGTAAGCAGTGTCATTTGTCAAGCATTCTGACTTCTTTAATCATTTCCTGCCTTATTTCTTGTGTACTTTCTCGTCTCTCTCTGTCTTCAATCTTCTTATTCTTAAATGGTGCTTTTCCCATGGCCAGTGTTTTTACTTACAAAATAAGTAGGCTTTCTTGCTCAGGACAAATCAGAGTTAAATATCATTAGTACTTTAAAACATCTGAATTAGTTACATTCCATAGGATATAATTGTTGATAGGAAGAGAGATATCACATTTGAAAGATGTCTGTTCAGATGGTCCAGTCTTTGTGTATTAGACTACCTTTTCCCTCAGCTGTGACACACAGCAATGACTTCAGAAGACGAATATTACTTGAAATCCACATTTTCTTTATAGGGTACATATATAAATAAATTTCTTCTCTCTCATCTTTCCTATTATCTTTGTAACAGAAATACCTCCCATTTTAACAGTTAAAATGTGCCCAGGAGCTCCAATAGTGGAAGCTTTAAATAACAAAGCTAAGTTATAAAGGCAGATCATTTAACTTTAAAAGAAACCTCTCTAATGCTTGCTCCTTTCCTATCTGTTCAGTAAGCACTTTTGAGGAAGCTAGAATTCACCATCGAGTTCAGACTGTTCTGTTTAGTATCTGGTCCTGGACCACAATTTAGTATACTGTGAATCCTAGGATTTGAGTGAATTCATAATGCCAGAAGTTAAAGTTAGTCATGAGAGCTTATTTTGTGTTATATGAAATCACTTATCATGGATGATAATCTGTTCTAACAAGTAAATGTTTAATGCTTTCTGGTACCAAATAATGGGCTTGGAACTTTATGACAAAACTAGTTTTAGACACGGTTTAGATATGGCTTTCTGTACTTGAGAGTCCCAGATGAACTTGGCTGTAGTCTGCGATGTATGCATTTTAAAAGCCTGCACTTTTTACCATAGAGACAAAGATCAAAGAGAAGATAACAGAATTCTCTATTTTTAAGTGCTTTCCAGCATCACCTTAGTGAGTCCTCAGCATAATCCTGTGAGGTTATAATAGTAGTACTGAAAATGGCCAGCTCTGCTGAATACTTACTGTGTGCCAGGCACAGTTGTGTGTGCTTCGCTTAGTTTAACTCATCGAACCCTTGTGACAATCCCATGAGGTTAGACAGCTATCCTCATGTTAGAGTTCAGGAGAAGAAACAGACACAGCTTGGCTCAGGCAGCCTAACGGTAGAATTGACGCTTCTAACAGACCATGGTCTTTCTATTTAAGTGTAATTATACCACATTTTTTTTAAGTGGGCAAACAGATGAACCCAAGATTGCACAGCTAGTAAATAGCAGAAGCAGTATTTACTAATCTGATTCCAAAAGTCCAGACTATCTTCACTACGTCACATTGACGCCATTCACTCTGGAAGAGTTGGGGTGAATTGGAATATACAGTAGCTAGTAACAATTACTGCTTTTAAATGAACTTGTTTGTATTTCAAGAGTAAATGATTGGGAGACTTCTTCAAAGGATGGTACAGTTGATCTCTGAGCAGACTTGAATCGTGACTTTTCTGGGGATGTTGCCTGCTGATTGAGAGGAGTCACTCATTGGGTAGGTCTGATAAGAGTGAGTCAATGAGGAAAGAATTGAAAAGTAGTGCTCCAGTTAGCCTATTGCTGTGTAACAAACTACTGTAAACCTTGGTGACCTAAGACAACATCATTTTATCAGCAAGGGCTCATCAGGGCAGTCCTGCTCCCTGTGGTGACGTCACCTGGTGGTATTCAGTGGGTGGTTTGAACTGGTTTGGAGGATCCAAGATTTTCTCACGTGCCTAACACCTCGGTAGGTAGGGCTCTTCTCTCCATGAAATCTTGGAGACTCGCCATGTGTTCTCTCCATCAAGATAATCAGATTTATTACATGGCTGCTCAGGCCTCCAAGATGGTGGGCGGAAGGTGCCAGTCCTCTGAGAGGCCAGGTCCCAGACTATTGCAGAGTCAGAGTCAGCACCGTACTCCCGGTCAGAGGAGTTAGTGGTCAGCCTCCATGCAAGCGCAGAGGAACTGCCATGCTATTTTGAGGACATACCAAGAATTTGGAGCTGTCTTGAATCAGTTAAAAATGACATTAGATTTTTTTTTATTGGTACTGATTCTCCTGTGTTCCTTACATCATTTGTTGATGCCATGTAAACCATTTATTATGATAAAGGAGCTAGAAGGAGAATGAAATACTAAGTGCATATTTTCATTAGTATTCCCTCCTCCCAAGATTCAAAAAAATGCAAAACTTGGCATTTTTTCCATTTTGTACTGTGTTCTAAGTTGTTGATCATTTGCCTGTATTTACTGTGAATCCACAATAAATGTACATCCTGAGCCATAAATACTCCAAAGGGAGTAAAAACACTAGTTTAGGATTTGATTTTTTAAATATATCAGCTATATTTTAAGTTTACAAATAGGTAAAAATTCCTGTGGTATAGAAAAATTATATGGCTACTAAATCTCTTTCAACAGGAGTTGATATCAGATGGCTGGATGGAGCATGTTCTTGAAATAGCAGAAGTTTTATCTATTCCCATCTCTACCTCCTATTTTATAATTTATAACTAGAAGATAAAGTGCTTCCTCTTGTTCTTAATGTCTTTCATACAGAAAAATCCATTGCCTAGATTTATATGTTGTTTATCTTTTAAAATTAGCAGTTGCTAGCAGCCTCCCATTTTAAAAACAAATCATGTAATTTTTATTTTTAACTAGATCTGTCAATTTGGGGGTGCTTTATTTAAAACTCCTACAAACTTAACAATAATTGGACTATTCCTGCCTTAAGATGAAGTGACAGTTGACGAATTCTCTACAAATGATCCTCTCCAAACCTGTACACTTTGGAAGAAAGGTTTGAGATGATCCATGCCATGTGCAGTGGATTCCTGGAGAAAAAGCTGTGAGGGCTTCTTGCTAGTCATCCCCAGATATAGTAAAGAGAGCTGTTCCTCGATCAGACCTCAGGAACTGCAAATACAGGAAATAAAAGTGGTACTCTGGGCCAAAGACAATGTAGAACACTACAAAATGCTCGGAAGGGAAAAAGAAGAATTTGGCATTTGTAGTTGGGAGACTGGAGATGGATTGTTTGAGGCTAAAGCATGAAGTTAACTAGGTTTTATCATATGATGTTTGGGGCAAATGTTAATGAACAAAATAAAAGCCTTAAAGCTCTCTTTTTTATGCTAACTTTCACTGTGGTATAGGCCTCTTGCCTCCTAGTCTACCCTTTGTGACAGAGAAGGCCTTTGAAACTAGTTTCAGAGAATGAAAAATGGTGTGATAATCTATGGAGCTGTCTCTCGTTTTGAATTAGACCTCTTTAGGCCCTTTCTTTAGATTCCCTGTGAATCTGAAGTTTGAAGTCATTTTGTGGTTGCACAGAAAATAAGTTTCTGTGGCCTTGAATTGCAAAAAAGGACAAAGTCAGATAAAAGGGAACCTTTTATAGAATGACAGAATATTTTCACATCAAAGATCTATAAACTGATTCAACGCAGTCATAACAACCTGAGTGAGTAGAAATTCCTTACGGTGTAGGTTTCTCCTCCCAGCCACATCTAGAAGCAGATGGTTATGACACATTTGAAGATGATCTACTGAGTTTCCTATAAAGT